TACTCTCCTCGATTTTATTTTCCGCTGAATAAATTCGCGAAAGATAGGAGAGATTCTTCGCGGACAATGAGGACTTCATTTCACAACGAGAGTGCCACAAAAGCGATACGTTTTACCGGGGTTAAAGACCAGAGATAATCGAATCTTTCATTGTTTTTTAACTCGCCGCGGGGGGTTCCACGATCATAAATACATGAGGCAACTTTCAGTCCGACAATTAGAAATCTTTCCGCGAAAGAATCGATCGGAATAGAACACTTTCTCGCGACAGAAAAAAGAAAAGTCTTACTCGACGATTCGAGAAAACAGCATCGTGTAAACAAGCTCTAAAAAGAAAAAATTTATTACCACGATCTTGCTCGAATGGCAAATATCCGATTGACAATGTTTTCATCGAAAATTCAGGAACGTGACGTAATCGAGAAGATCGAGTCGAAACACGCGAGATGATAATCTCGAGACGAGAATCACATTGAAAATAGCATTTCTCCAGAAATTCCGGCTCGTGGATTGACAAATTAAAAAGTAGAAATTTAGAACTGGTAAACAGTAGCTTTATTTAGACTCTTATCTTCAGTGAAAACTGGGGATTTTATAAATATCAACAGATTTTTATGGAGAAACATATATTTTTTTCTTCTTTCATTCAACTTATCTTAGAATCGTGTATGACTTTTTCTCCGTAAACAATGACTTTCAGTAATTCCGTTATTTCTTAATTCACAAAATTACTCTTTCGTTCCTTCAAATTAAAGAAAAAATTAAAATGATCTCCCCTGAGAAATATTCCCTCTAACATTACTCTTTAATAAATATTTCCAAAATTCATTTGCAATCTTTTTACAATCATTTGATTCCAGAACCACTCGTTCGCTATAAAACCGATCACAATTCATGCAAAAATCTCCTCAGACAAATGTGTCAGTGATCGAGACAAATTTCACAGAAGTCGGAGAAACTGAAATTTGGGAAAATCTAAATTGCGAGCGGTTGAGGTAAAAAGACGCGAATAAAATCGCGGCAATTAGGGTCGGGATGCTTGAACATTGCGAAATCGTTGTTGATGTATACGTAGAGTGGTCGTGCCCACTAGGTTATGCAATCAATTATGATAACCGTATCGTTAGGCCACACAGTCGAGCCTCCAGGCACGTCAGGCCACGCGCAACTTTCTTGCGAGCGTGTGTGCGCGCCGCAGCGCGTATATTTATGCAGAATGTATTGACAACACGGTGACATCGGGTCGAAGCTATCAACGCAGACGAAAATAAGAGAAAATAAGCGAAAGGGGAGAGAACCATGGGGGCAGAATGATTTGGAGGAACTGGTTCCAGCCAGAATTCGATCATTTCTTCTTCTATCGTATCTTTCTTTATGTTTTCTTCGCGGAGGAATTTCGGAATATTTTATTCTAGTGATTTCGAAACTTCTTTTTTTTTCACGTCGGTTTGCGAATCGTTGATTTTATTGCGTTTAGTATGACTGACTTGAGACGCCATTTTGGTTGCACATTATTCGCAGCGTTGCGAT